GCACATATACTAAAATTGGAACGATACAGAGAAGATTAGCATGGTCCCTGCGCAAGGATGACACGCAAATTCGTGAAGCGTTCCATAAAAAAAAAAGAAGAAGAAGAAGAAAGAAAGAGAGGAAGAGGAAGGAAGGAGGGAGGAGGAACGAAGAGGAAGGGAAGAGAAAGGAGGGAGGAAGGAGGAAGGAGGAGGAAGGGAGGAGGAGAAAGGGAGGAGGGAGGAAGGAAGGAGGAAGAAGGGAAGGAAGGAAGGAGGGAGGAAAGGAGGGAGGAAGGAAGGAAGGAAGGAAGGGAGGAAGGAAGGGAGGGAGGGAGGGAGGAAGGGAAAGAAAGAAGCCCACCCCTGAATTTTGCATGTTTTATTAGACCCAGTCTCGCCAGGACAGGAGTGTAACTGAGGGGCCAGGAGAACATGGTCCCAGCACACGCCTGCCTCCCTGAGTCTCAGGGTTACTGAGAGGCCACAAAGTCAGGCCTTCCTCCACAACCACGCTAACTGTGACCTGCTGGGTAGGTGTGACCTGCTGTGTTGGTGTGAGTTGCTGGGTTGGTGTGACCTGCTGGGTAGGTGTTTCCTGCTGGGTGTGGTGTGACCTGCTGGGTTGGTGTGACCTGCTGGGTTGGTGTGACCTGCTGGGTTGGTGTGAGCTGCTGGGTTGGTGTGACCTGCTGGGTTGGTGTGAGCTGCTGGGTTGGTGTGACCTGCTGGGTTGGTGTGAGCTGCTGGGTTGGTGTGACCTGCTGGGTTGGTGTGAGCTGCTGGGTTGGTGTGACCTGCTGGGTTGGTGTGAGCTGCTGGGTTGGTGTGACCTGCTGGGTTGGTGTGAGCTGCTGGGTTGGTGTGACCTGCTGGGTTGGTGTGAGCTGCTGGGTTGGTGTGACCTGCTGGGTTGGTGTGAGCTGCTGGGTTGGTGTGACCTGCTGGGTTGGTGTGAGCTGCTGGGTTGGTGTGACCTGCTGGGTTGGTGTGAGCTGCTGGGTTGGTGTGACCTGCTGGGTTGGTGTGAGCTGCTGGGTTGGTGTGACCTGCTGGGTTGGTGTGAGCTGCTGGGTTGGTGTGACCTGCTGGGTTGGTGTGAGCTGCTGGGTTGGTGTGACCTGCTGGGTTGGTGTGAGCTGCTGGGTTGGTGTGAGCTGCTTGGTTGGTGTGAGCTGCTTGGTTGGTGTGACCTGCTGGGTTGGTGTGAGCTGCTGGGTTGGTGTGAGCTCCTGGGTTGGTGTGCTGAAGGAATAGGCTGTCACAGCTGGTGGGCATAGCTTACGAATCAGATGTTCACTTCCAATGCCTTCCGCTTAAATGTGGGCTTCAGCGTGGCCCATGCAGCTGGGGCAGGGCGGGTAGGGAAGCCTCTTGCTGAGCAACAGGGAGCCATAGGCCCAGCCACGAGCAAGCACTCGGCCCAAAGCCCTCAAGGGTCCTCCTGCAGGGTCGCTGCCGGAGTCTCGTTGAGGACCTGCCTCCGCTCCGAGAGAAGAGCCTGCTTCATCACCGGATGGAGGCTCAGGTCACGGTGTGGCCGAAGAGCCACTGGGCAAACAGTTGACTTCACGCCTTTTAACCACATCGAAGGAGCCGCATCTAATGAGCCCGCTGCTGAGGTGGAATTTCAGGAATCAGGACGCATTCCATGACAGTTGCAAGACACAGTGATGCCAGGGGGAAGCCCTGAGGCCATGCATGCCCAGTGGCCAGCACTGCTTTGTTACCGAGGCCTCCTTCCCGCCAGGCGTGTGTGCGCATGGAGACCCAGCACGGGTTCTGCTGCCTGGAGTTGGCGTCCAAGCTCTGATCAGACACGCAGGCTGTATTCCGGCTGCCAGGTGGCCCTGCCCTAATGCTCCCTCCATCCGGCCTCGGCCCGAGCCCCGCCCGCTGACTGAGCTCCAAGGGTCGGAAGGCACCGAGGCGGGTCCCGTCCTGCTCTGCCCTGGGGCTCCCTGGGTTCCTCAGGTCTCCGACCCTCGGGGACAGTAGCTTCCCCAGCAGGAGGGGCTCACTCTTCTCACTGCCGAGCTGCTCCCAGGACACAAGGAACTGGGGGGGTGGGGGTCTCCGCACAGACGTGCAGAAGGGCCCTGTGGAACCTTCTGCTCCTTCTGCTGGGGCTCAGGGCGCGTGGGAGCTGCAGAGGGCAGTGGAGGGAGCCAGGCGGCCTCTCCTTCTCGCCTGGAAGACGTGGGATCAGCACAGGCCTGGCCATCACAGCACGGATGCCATGGGCTCGCCGTCCAGGGCTGAGAGGTGGTGCCTGGCGTAGCTGAGCGGCACCCCCCTTCCCTTAAACGTTAGTTTCCAATCAGGTTCTCCTTTGTGACCTCGAGGGAGAAGAGCAGACATGTAAAGCGAAGCGTTTCTGTGCTTGAGGGGGACGCATCCAGCAAGCCCCGCCTCCTCCAGTCTCTTGTCAGAAGAATGTGCTACACGCACGTGCACGTGTCCTCCCTGACCCGCGGACGGGGCGGGAAAGGCACCCACCACGTGCACATCCCACCCCTGACCCGCGGACGGGGCGGGAAAGGCACCCCCCACATGCACATCCCATCCCTGACCCTCGGACAGGGCGGGAAAGGCACCTGCGCACAGGAAGGGCTTCGAAGGGTGCCGGGTGAACAGTCGGCGGAGACTCGGTAGCTGGATCAGGACCAGGTCAACCGCAGGGCCGAGCCTCTTCTCTGTCGGTTATATTGAGTCTTTTTCAGAAGAATTTTCCTGGGAGAGCAGAGACCCTCAATGGAAAGACATTCACATAGGAGGGGAGACGGCAGGTTCTCTTTTTAAGTTAAAAAGAGCATCCTAACAGTTGACATTATTCACGGGAAACGATGTGGGGTGGTTCCGAAGCGTCGCCGAGTCCTCCAGAAACCTCTCTTCCTGCGACGCCTCAGGGTTGGCGTCTGCCGCATCCATTACCCCTCACGGCCTCCGGACCGCGTCAGCGTCATCTGCAGCCGGCGGCTGGTTGGCGCAACAAGGAGGTGCTCCTCCTGGGTCCTCCTCGGTCCCCCCAGAGCGTCAGCCGGCCAAGAAGCCACCCCCGAGCTCAACACGCGTGACTCCGATCGGGACACGAGAGGAAAAGCCACGGGCCTTGCTCCCAGGAGGAGCTTCACGTAATCAGTGAACTGAGACCAGGACACAGACGCAGAAAGGTCGATGATCCTGGATTCCCCACACATGCCCCTCACAGGCGAGTCAGGTCGTATTGATTCCATTATCCCAATCAGCACCGAACTGATCACTTTCAGCAGGCGGATGCCACCGAGGGCAATCGAACACGGAGAGTGCCAGGCGCCAGAATGACCCCCCAGGACGGGGCCGAGGGCTCCTGTGCCCCCACCTGGTGTGCTGGTCCCAGAGGGGGCCGAGGCTGTGGGCGCAGCTGACACGCTCGGAGCCACAGAGCTTCCAGGCAGCGGACGGAGCTCAGACACACGTCCTGGTTCCAATCCAGAGCTCCTGTCCCGGTCAATAATGAAAGCTATTCTTCACCCACAGCTTCCCCTGTGCTACTCCCTCTGCTGGAAGGTGCTGGAAGGTTCTGGAAGATGCTGGAAGGTGCGACAGGCACCCGTTCTGGGCTCAGCTTTAGCCCGAGTAGCCATGTGTATTGAGGAACTCAGACAACCTCTCTGGATCTCAGATCCTCAGCTGTAAAAGGAGGTGATGAGACTTCTCCACACTCCCCCACTTCTCCATCCAGGTACCCCCTGAGCAGAGCAAGCACAGGGGGTGATCATCGCAGTGGGAGCCTGGAGGTGTGCGATCCTGCAAGCGAGAAGTGCAGGTTGAAGTATTGGAGTTTGTCCGCCTTATAATTCACAGGGCTTCTGCAGGCTGCTTGACAACGCATCTGGTTTGTTTTAAGGTGGAAATAATGTTTGGAATATTTTTATCATGGACGCCGATTTGCCAAGGAGGGCTGGGCTGCCCTGGGGCTCAAGATGGTGGTTTTGTGCGGCCTCCTCCCTCCTCGTGGGCCCCGAGTTGTCCGTCTGTTTCTGATGTCACCCCCAGTCCTGCCCCTAGTCCCAAGGCCCTAAGAAGCTCTCTCCCCACAATGGCCAGGGGCCGTTTGAGGGGACCCCTGAAGGGGAAATTAGCAACAGAAGCAGCGAGTGTAGAAAGGGACACAGATATTTAGCAAATGGAGACGGGAGAGGTGGGTGGGAGTGGGGGCTGCTCTTCTAGGAGAGGGAGGAGGCGGGGAAGGGCCTCGGACGGAGATCTGCAGTGGCGTCTACCAGATTCCGATCCCTCTCCTCCAGTCTTTTCTGGAAGGAGGTGGCTGTGAGCAAACATTGGCTTTAGGAAGAACTAGAGGAAACAACTCTGAAAAGTGCAGCATTACTTCTGACTCAGATCAAATCTTTCGAGCGTCTCAGACCCCTTTGCCCCTCTCGGGTCAACACCAGAGCTGAGGTCAATGCCTAGCTTTGCTCGACTCCCCCGGCTCTCGACTAGGGCTCCCCTCACCTTCTGGGCCTGTGAGGGGTCTGAGCACAGAGGCTGGAGCTGGGGGTGCCGCGGGGGGCGGGGAGGCTCTCCCCCAGGCCCTGGGCAGTTATCCGCGGAGGGGAGGTCAGCCAAATGCCGCGTCTGCTGCCACAGCCAAGG